CGGGGCGTGGCGGGGTGCGGCGGGGTGATGAGGGCCCCCGGTGGTACGACCGCAAGCAGCCCAAGCCGGGCAGAACCCCTTCTTGGCCCAGCCGCCCCTTTTCCCCTCCGGCATCCTTTCCCTTCGCTAGCGCCCTAACGGACCACGATAGTGGGGAGATTGTCAAGTGCGGGGAAGGGGTGGTCGTCCCGGCCGGACCCACTGGCTGAGAGAGTGGCCAATTCCCAGAGCCAATCAAGCCGTTGGGTGCGGACGGTCCGCCGCTCGGCCCGACAGAGGGAGAGGGACGGCAAAGGAGAAAGCCAGCGAGAGAGCGACTAAGAGTAAGTAGGGGCAGTCGGGGGCGCGGCTGGACGATCCACCACCACGCTCCGTCGTCACAACCACCACCACCACCACCACGCGGCCACCACCACAAACACAACCACCATCGCGGCCGTCACCGCCAGTGTCTCGCTATTCACGCCGTCGCAGGGGCGGTTGGTTGGTTTCAAGCTCGACTAACGGGCGGGGCGCGACTTTCTATAAGAGGGTTGCATACACAGTCACTTCAAAGTTGTGCCAGGGGAAGGCTACAAAGGTGAGAGAGCGACGTTGTGTGTACATGCAGGCGCGTATGTTCGCCAACTTTCAGGCTGACGGGGGGAGCAAGCAAGCTACCGCCCCGCCCCCCTTTGCCTCGCCCGTCACTCCACTCTTTAAACCACCCCTGCGCCGCCGTCACCGCCCCGTCACGCCCGCGCCCCGCCGACACTTTTCCCGGTGCCCGCCAGCACCACCACGTTCACGGGCGCGCGAGGACAAACAAATCGAACCGCGCGGCAAAAACAATTAAGGCGGACAAAACAAATGATTGCGTTTGCGGGGCCCCCTTTAGCGCGCCAGTCGAGGGGGGCGCTAACGAGGCGGTCCTAATAAACCGCGTCGCTAATCCACTCTCCAGTCAGTCAGGAACACAATTTGGCCGCCACCACCGCCGCCGCAAAAACGGCAATCATTTTAACGACGCTATACACAATAAACGGGGAGTGAACAACGGCGCCAACGCGACGACAAAACGCCGCCGCCGTGGACAAGCGGCGTGTGACGGGGCGTGGCCAATAAGTGACAAGGGGGAATAAGGGAAGGGGGTGACAAGAGGGGTGAAAGGTTGTCAAAGGAGTGGCGACGACAACGCGCGAGGAAGGCGCGGCGCGGCGGGTCGCGAGGGGCGAAAGGGACCGGGAAGGGAAGGGAAGGGAAGGGAAAGGGGGGGGGGGGTCTGTAGCGCCCTCACACCTCGCCGCCCAGCATTAGGAGGGCAATCAGGCGATAAGGGCGCCAGATCGACTTTACATTAAGGAGCAAACACCTCCGCGCGCCCCGCAGGGAGAGTCGGCACAACGCCGGAAGGGGAGAGCCAGGTGGCCCAACGGCGGCAGGGCAGGGGAGAGTCGACCTAACGGCGGCAGGAGAGAATCGGAGGCAGAGGAGAGTCGACCCAACGGCGGCAGGGGAGAGTCGGCCCAACGGCAGCAGGGAAGAGTCGAGAGTCGGCCCAACGGCGGCAGGGGAGAGTCGGCACAACGGCGGGGGCGGGCCCACGTAACGAGCGCCATGGGGGAAGGGAAGGGCGGCTCGCGTTCGAACGTCCCATAATGCGTTTGTTTCCAGGAGCAAACTGTGGCAGAGGAGAGGTAGGAGGTAGGGAGAGTCACCCTTTCTCGCAAGCTCCGTGCAACCTCGCCGGTCGGTACGGCGTCCTCCTGGCCCTATGGCACACCCGCACCCACCCTTGAGCGAGCTAAACGCCAACCCGGGGTGGTAGAGAGGGTGGGGGGTGGTTTGTTTGTCGGCTACCTCCTCTCCACTCCCCCCCTCGACTTTCCCACAGCGTCAACACGGCTCTGGACAGGTGCCACGCTCCGCTCCGCCACCTCGACGAACTCAACCCGTCACCCGCCCGATCAGATTGTGGGAGGCCCAGAGAGGAGGGAAAAGGGGGGCGTACTCAAGGCCCGTGCCATCATACGCCACCACGCCCCTCACGATACAGCAGCACGTGTACCGCCATAGGCACCACGCGGCAGGGTCCACGACTCACCACACCACGGTCTCTCCTCGCCCCCACCCACCCCCCACCCCACTCACTATCTCGCTTCCATATTCACTATCACCATAGTATCTCGCTCCCCCACCTCCACTATCTCGCTCTCCCATACCTCACCATCGCAATCACCCAGCATACAATGTCAACCTTTCCCGCCCTCTGCGGCCTGTGTGGCGCGGAAGGAAGCCCCCCCAGAAACGTTTCGCGGGACACACGCACGCACGAGCCACATCATCAAGTCTCTTTATTGTTATCGGTCGTCCTCCACGCCGCATGTGCGCAGTATTGTATTGACGTGTAACGATCGTACAGACCCCCTGCCCTTGCCCCCTCCCCCAACCAGTCGTCAATTGTCGTGCAGCACTCGGCTCGGCATGTCCATATCAACATCAAACATGTTCTACATCGGAACCACATTTACTACGACATAGAAACTGACAGTGAGCATGCAAAGCGGGCAGCGCAAGGCATCACAAACACCAAACGATCGTGTGAGAATAGCTCGAAAAATGTTAGGAACTGTGCTTTCAACAAGTGAAGTGTCCTCAAACTATTGAGAGCAATTTTTTAAGGACATGTTATCAAATCAAGAGCACTTATTTATCTAGGTGGTCAAGGAGACGGCAAAGAGTGATTTCACGATAAAAACGACGTCTCAATTTTTGAGGAAAACTCATATTCAAGAAATACTCCTCCGATCTCGCCTCCGATTTTTAGGAACCTTCTCAAAAAATGAGGAAAAATTCCTACATTTTTTTAGGAGACTTCCTCGAAATCTGAGGAGTTTTCCTCAAACCAAGGGAGTTTCTCAAAGTTTTCCTTTTCCCCTCTTAAAATGAGACGTCGTTTTTACCATGTTGGAAAGAAAAACAAAACTACAAGAATGGAATGTGCCGAAAGGGGTAAAAGGGCCAAGAGGCCGGTAATGCAGCCTAACCCAGCCTGGACACGCCCAGACCGACCCCTTTTCTCGTCAATTATGAAAGGCTGAGGTGAAAAGCGAGCCTTTCCGGCCGTCGGAAGTCGGGATAGGGTCGGCGGCGAGGAAGTACGAAGGGGCAGGGCGCCAGTGCAGGCCGGGCGGGGCGGGGCAGGGCGCCGGGGGCTTCCGCCGGAGCCTGGGCTACTCGCCGCCGGGCGCGACGCCGGGGCGGCGCGGGGCCGGCTGGCGCCGGTACAGCGTCCGCCGCGCAGCCCGCAGCGGACGGACAACAAAAGCAGTGGGGCAGCATCAGCAACAACAACGCCAAGCAAGCAGTCGTCATCATCATCATGCCGGGACCGCTACCTCTTGATCCAGCGCTTGATCCAGGCGAAGCAGCCGCGGACCAGGCCGCCGGCCTCGCCCTTGGGCTCGGACCACGACGACACCCACGGCTCGCCAGAGCGGTCCGGCAGGATCGTGATGATGGTGTACACGATGACGCACTGGTAATCCATGGCGGGCACATGACGGACGGACAGGCACCGGCGGGACACAGACACGCGTCACGGCATCGCGCTACGTCAGGCTGAGTGTGTGTGTGTGTGTGTGCGCGTGTGTTTGTGTGATTGTGCGAACGTGCGTGTGTGTGTGTATATGTGTGTGCGAGTGAGCGGCAGGGACGGACTGAGTGTATGTGTGCGGGGGGACGGTGCGATAGAGATAGTTGGGAGAGGGGGGGATAGAGAAAGAAGAGTTAGGATAGACGAGACAGCGGCTAGAGGGACACTACACTACACTAGCTAGAGAGGGGCCCGACCCGGCGGGAAGCCTCTACCGCCCTGGCTGGCTGGCGCGCCTAGACTGAGGCAAGCGCGCGGGGCGGAGAGCCGGGCGAGAGAGCGCGCCCAGCGAGAGCGCGGAGCGGGAGGGCGGTGGCGGGGGGGCTGGGGGCCGCACGCCCCCTCCGCACCACCGAGCGGGGGGGCTCCGCTCCGCGCCCCCCACCCCCAGCAGCCTGTCCCTGGGAGGGACGGATTAGCGGGGGGGAGGGGGTGCGATCCTGGACGCGGGACGGCCGGGGTGGGCGCCGCCACTGGGTGTCCGGGGGAGCCCGGCGGGGCGGGGCAGGGCGGGGCGAACAGGGCGGTGGAGTGGAGTGGCGACACTTGCAGCCCCCCCCCCC